CATGGTACTGAGGACTGAACCCAAGGCCTTCACACTGAAGCACACCCCAGTGCTTTTCACTTTGCCATGGAGGGAAGGTGGCGCTGAGGGCGGGGTGAAGATGGAGATAAAGGCGGAGCACAGGGTGCAGGGGAAGGTGGCAGTCAGTGACGGTGTGTGGCGGGGGACACTGCTGTGGGTGGCGGTCCGGGAGGCAAGGGGAGCAGTGGGGACAACAGCAACCAGACGGGAGTTTCTAAGTCGCCCTCGACCCCAGGCTCTCCGCTGACCATGGGAGCCCGTCTAGGACGACGCAGTGGGGGCCTCTTGTTTTGTTCCCAGAAGCCCCTGCGGCAGGCAGTGCTGCTGAAGGTGATGCCAGCGTCTCCCGGGCTTCAGCTAATGTGAAGCACAAGGCAGGACCCAGGCAGGGACAGTATGGCGCTGCCAACCCTGGGCACAGGGCCTCCTCTTCAGCCTTGAGGCAGGCCCTGGCCACAGCACGGGCCTTCCTTGCTGGCACGGAGCAACCCTGAGCTGCCAGAGTCGTAAGGGAGTGGAGGCCCCGGAGGCTGAGGGGCTGGGGTCTCACGGCAGCAAGCGCAGGCCCTGGTGGCAGGAAGCTCCAGACACGGCCCAAGCGTGCGTCGAGCGGGAATCCCAGCGTCCTTGGCAGGGGCTCACGGAGTCTTCTCTTATTGTTAACATCCACACTCGAAATATTGTCAGGCCTGCCATGACCAGTCTTTGAGCCTCTCCATGATCCGCGGGCCACCTGCCACCCACGGACCCCTGGACATGCCCACTCTGGCCTCTGCCAGGACCCTGGTGAGGGGCTGGCCTGGAGAAGGCTGGTGGAGAGCAAGGGCCGGGCTCCCAGCTCGCTGCCAGGGCTGTGGGCCTTGCCAGGTGTCAGGTTCAATTTCCCAACCCTCCTGCTCAGAGAACCAAGCACCGTGTCCCTCCACCCACGCTGGGTCCTCCCAGGCTGCCCCTTGGCAGCGAGAAGGTCCCGGGGCGTTGGGGGGAGCTGATCAGACTCACCAGGCAGGGCGGGTGGGGACGAGGGCGGAAAGGTTGCTCGTCCAGTCTGTCGCCCACCTCTTGGCAGGCAGGCTGCGGGCCCCAGGGCGGGCTGTGTGCGGGCTGGAGTGGGGGCAGCGGGCACTGCCAGCAGGGAGGCGGCAGGGAATGCTGAGACGGCGAGCGAGGCCAGAGATCTGGGCCCCAGCCCCTGCCTCACCCCACCCTGTGGCAGGCACCAGGGCTGGCTCCCCTGGCAAATAAGGTGGCTTAGTAACAGGACATGGGGGGGGACCATCCCACCTTCCGTTAGCCCTTCCACAGCCAATCCCAGAGCCCCTGGATAATGGCGCACTTGTGGCTTTTCTTAGAAGAACAGGTTTATTGTGAGGTAAATCACACGCCATACAATTCACCCATTTTAAGGGTCTCATTCAACAGTCTTAAATATAATCACAGGGTTGTGCAATCGTTTCCCTAGCCAACCCCAGGACATTTCCATCGTCATGCCCCAAACAAACCCTTACCTGTCAGCTATCACCACCCACTTCTACCCCCAGCATCTCCCGCATCATGGCTGCAGTAACACACCTCGCCCAGCTCTCGGCAGCTGCTGATCTACTCTGCCTGTGGATTTGCTTCTGTTGGGGTTTTCACTGACTTCTGGGATTGAGCAAACAGGACCCGCCTGCTGGTTCCAAACCAGCTCCTCACCATGGCCCCCATCCAGTTCCTGGGCTCCGTTTCTCCCTCAGCAACTGCTGTCCCTTCCCCATACCCCTCATCCGATTCCCTAGCCTACGGAATACTGGGGCATTCTACACTTCTCACACCCGCCAGCCTTTCCTTCCCACTGCCCTGGGAACCAATCTAAAGTAAGAACTGGATGGAGTCACCCTGGCCCACCCAGCACAAAACCTATCTGAAGGTCTCCGTTGCTGTTGGGGCAGTCCAGACCAGGAGTCTTAGCTGGATTCCCGGAACACAGTACTGAGCTGGGGCACGCATTTGGGAGAGGATTCTAAGAGACAGGAGAGGGGTACTGGGAAAGGATAAAGGTCATTCAAGGATGCTGGAGAGGTCTGATCCTGCATCCTGCGTTGAGGGGTTCCATTCCACCAGAATATCTGAGAATTGCACAGAATGCCAACCAGGTTGTCTATCTAAATGACAGGTGACGGGTGTTTTCCAATAGCTCCCACCCCCCTGCCCAGAAGACAGACAGAGAAAGATGCTGGCTTCTTCTTAGCTGGGCCATGCAACCAGGCTTGAATGCTGTGAGCCTGCGGCTGCCCCTTCTACAAAGACTGGTCCTCAGCTGACAGGAGCTGATTAGCCAGGAAGGTGAACAAACTACAATTAGAGATACGCTGCAGTGGGGGGTCTCCTTGCCTTTGAGGGGCCAACACTGTGGTGTAGTGCTCCAGAACCTTCCCTAGGGGCCAAGCTAGGGACAGACTGTCAGGCTGGGTACTGTGATAAGGGAGTCAGGTGTGTCATTTAAGGCTGAGGTCCCAAAATCGGGGATAAGGTCAGATCTTGGTGTGGGATGGAGCCAGTATTCAGACCTCAAAACGCAATCAAACATGGAGCCAGGGTGGCTTGGCCCTGCATCGACTGCTTCCAGTCCCAGGGGAGACCCAGCTGGTCCCAGACCCTGGCGTGGTGCTTAGCCCACAGGTGGAGACGAGAAGCTGTAGCTACAGGAAGAGCCGGCTACAGAGCATGGGGCAGATGGCACAGCCGCCACACCCAGCAGACCTGAACAAGCACCTGCAGACCAGGCGTTCCCAAGGCCATGCAACACCTCTGAGGAAAGCTATGGGCAAAGCCTGTGCCAGGTGATGTAGGGTCTGCCCCTGTGCCTGGCATCCTTCCTGGCATTGCCTGGGCACCAGCTTCCTGCAGAAAGATGCAGGCAGTGCCCCACGCTGGCAGGCCCTTCCCAGAGCCCACACCCACTGACCTCCACCAATCACAGGTGGGCTGTTGAGTGGGGGCTCCATCAACCCAAAACACAGCATCCATGCCACAGACCGCTGTTTGGCAATGTGAAGAGCAGAAGTCCTGACACAGGCTATAGCATGCATGGGCCTTGAGCACATTGTTCCAAGTCACAAACAGTCACCATGAGTTCCGTTTTTCTGCGATGTCCAGAACAGGCAATCTGTAGATGACAGACAGCAGATTAGCTGCTGTCTAGTAGTGGGCTTGGCGGTGGAAGGGATTGGTGAATGAAGGGGAAAGGGAGCAGGGTAGTAAAATATCTGCAAAAGTGATTGCGGTGATTGGTGTACAACTCTGTGATTATAATAAAGCCATTGAAGTGCAGACTTTAAATGGGTGAATTGTAGGGTATGTGAATACCTCAATGACTCTGTAACACAAAAGACCTTATAGACGTGAAAAAAAAAACCACACAGAAAAATGGGACTCCTCACCTAGAAAACAAATCAATTAATAGGACAGGTCTAGAAAGGATAAAGGTGGGGAAATTAGTTGACAAGGCTTCATGTCAGTCACTGTAAATATGTTCAAAATAAAAGGGGACACAGACATAAGAAAAAGAGAAATATAAAACAAAAGAGAACCAAAACCTAAAACAGAAACAGAACCAATGAAACTTCTGGAGCTGGAAATATAGCATGTGAAATGAAAAGTTCACTTACTAGCAGATTTGACACCACAAAGAAATCAATGAACTTGAAGACAGAATAATAGGATTTGTCCAAACTAAAATATAGAGGGCAAAAAAGTCAAAAAAATTAACAGTGCCTCGGTTACCTATAGAACAGTAGTAATCCTTCAAAAGTGATATATTTGGAAGTATGAAGAATATGCAGAATATGAAGCAGGACTCACTGACATTTTCTCAAATTTCCAATTAGATGAAAATCATACACCCAAAGACCCCAAAAGATCAAAGAACTCTCAAAATACAAAGAAAGCCATACCAAAGGACATCATAATCAAATTGCGGAAAAACAATGATAAACAGAAAAAATCCTAAGATACAGGGGAAATGACACATTATGCAGAAGGAACAAAGATGAAAGGACAGCTGGGGTCCAGGGATACAGCTCAGAGGCATAGCACCTGCCTGGCAAGTGCAAGGTCCTGAGTTCGATTCCTAATGTCAAGAAAAGAAAAGAAAAGAAAAGAAAAGAAAAGAAAAGAAAAGAAAAGAAAAGAAAAGAAAAGAAAAGAAAAGACAGCTGACTTCCTGCCAGAAACAATGAAAGCCACAGGGCAATGAGATAGATGACATTTTAGTAGGCGGGGAGCTGTCAACCTAGAATTTTTCCAATTAAAACAGCTTCCCCCAATTTGACAAACAAGCAGTTACAAAAATTATTGCCAGTAGAACTGGCACTACAAAAAATTTTTGAAGAAAAGTTTTCAGACTGAAGGAAAAAAACCTTACATGTAAATTTGATATACAAGATAATGCAAAGGACAGGAAATGGAAAATATGTAAACTGATATGAAAGATTTTTCTTTAAAAGGCAACTGTTTAGAACCTATAGAGAAGGAAAATGTATGACTACAGCGGGACAAAGGAAGGATGAGAGGGCATAGAAGAATATTTCTGGAAGGCTCTTAATTATAAATTGTCACACATCATTTCAAGGCATACTGTTAAAGAGTCACTCTATAAACTCGAGGGCAATCAGAGAGAGAGAGGAGAAGAGAAGGATAGGAAAGGGAAAGGAAGGGAAGAGAAGAGGGGCACTAAGGGATCAAAAGTGACAAAGTAGAAGGTAAAACCAAAATGAACCAAAAAACCCTCAATCCAGCTGGATGTGGGGGCTCATACACATAACCTCAGCTACTCACAGGTACTCAGGAGGCTAAGGAAGGAGGATTACAAGTTTGAGGCCAGACTAGGTGACCTAGTGAAACCTTGCTTCAGAAATTAAAAATAAAAGGGGTTGTGGATATAGCCAGTGGTACAGCAGTTGCCTAGCATGTCCAAGGTCCTGGGTTCAACCCCTAGTACTGCAAAACAAAACAAAACAAAATTCTGCAAGCCAAAGGAAGCTAAGGGGAAAGGTTAAAAATAAAGGGCAGAGGGAATAATTAGGAAAAAAAAATCCCAGCAAAATGGTGGAGTTAAACCTCAACATACCACTCTGCATGAAGCTCCAGGATACAACAGGGACTTTATCGACACTCCTATTTTAAAAACTGAAAAACCAAGTCCAGACATGGTGGTGCACATCTGTAATCCCAACACTCTGGGAGGCTGAGACAGAAGAATCACAAATTTGAATCTACCCTGGGTAATTTAGCAATTAAGTGAGAACTTCTCTCTCTCAAAAAAAGTCCTTTTTAAAAGGGCCGGGAATGTAGCTAAGCGCAAAGGCCCTCGGTTCAATCCCTACTGTAAGCAAACACCTAGAAAACCAAACAGTGTAGCTTGGACATGGACCACAAGCAATGCTGAAATGGTCCATGCTGAAATGGTTTTCTTCCCTAAAGGAAAATTCCCTAATTATTAGGAAATTAACATACCTCTAGTGACTTGCAGGTCAAAGAAGAAATGACATGGGAAATTAGATAACATCTTGAATGAAAAAGAAATGAAAACAGCATCAATATCTGTGAGTTGCAGAGGTCAGTAGTTCTTAGAGGGTAATTTACAGCTTCAGCTGCCATTGCTCGGGTTTGATCACATAACCCAGAGTTCACGGTGAAAACATGAATTCCCAGTGTTGGGAGGTGGGGCCTGATGAGAGATGGCTTGAATGGGTCACTATCGTTCTTCCAGGGGTCGGGTAGAGCGAGTTTCTACAAAAGCAACATAGCAAAAAAAAAAAAAAAAGAAAGAAAAGAACCACAAAAGGCTGGGCGTGGTGGCGCACGCCTTTAATCCCAGCACTTGGGAGGCTGAGACAGGAGGATCGGTGCGAGTTCGAGACCAGCCTGAGCTACAAAGTGAGCCCAAGGCCGGCCTGAACTGCAAAGCGAGACCCTGTCTCAAAAAAAAAAAAAACAAAAGCAACATAGCTTACTTGGCTCACCCTCTCCCATTCCCTTACTCTTCTGCCATCTTACAAGATGGCAAAAAGGCCCTCCTTACAAGCCAACCAGATACTCCTGGACTTCCCAGCTGCCAGGACTGGGAAGCAAATAAATCTTTCTCTACAAATGACTCAATCTGTAGTGTTCTGTGACAGCAGCAGAAGATAGACCAAGACAAGACAGGCTACTGGTACAGAGAACGGGGATGGTTGCTATAACAACATCTGCAAATATGGAGATGGCCTTGGAACCAGGTAATGGGCAGAGGATTGAAGAATCTGGAAAAATAGACCAGAAAACCTAGAATACTATAAATGGAGCTTTAAGAATGATTCCAGTGAAAGCTTGTATATCAGTCAGCCTTTCCACCACTGGAACGGAATACCTCATACTCACAATTTAGAAGAGGAAGGATTTATTTCCACTCACAGTTTCTGAAGGTTCAGTTCATGGTCATCTGGCACCAAGGCAGAAATGTCATGGCGGAGGGACGTGGCAGAGCAAAGGTGTTCACCTTGTGCTGGCTGGGGAACAGAACACAAGTGAAGGGGGCCAGGGATCAGATGTCATCCCCAAGGTCACGGCCCTCTATGGTTCACTTCTGCCACTTAGTCCAGCCTCCTTAGTCCTGCCTCCATTCAGTTATGAATTCCTCAATGGGCTGCTCCATTGATGAAATTAGTCCCCTCACAATCCAACCAACTCGCCAGGAGTCTTTAAGTCCAGTCTGGTTGATGCTCAAGACTAACCAGCACAATTCAGAAGGCAAGAGGACCACAGAAAGTCTGGGGCTTCTCCCGGATTACTTAGGTGATCATGAGCAGCATATTGACAGAAAGGTGGATGGCAAAGGACATTCTGATAATGCCTCAGGTGGAGAGGAGGGCCAGGTAGTGGGAACTGGACACAATCCCACCCTCGTTATGAAGTTGCAAAGTGCTTGGCGGAACTGTGTTCATGCCTGAGGGTTTTGTGGGATGCAGAACTTAAGAGCGACGAGCTTGGATATCTGGTGGAAAAAATATCTAATCAGCAAAGCATTCAGGCTGCTCCATGGCTGCTTTTGGCTACTCACAGGGAGATGTGGGAATAATAAGCTGATTTAAAAATGAAATTCGTAATTAAAAGAGAAGCAGAGTGGACAGATATGGAAAAGTCTCAGCTTGGCCATCTAAAGAGTGAAAGAATGCGTTCAGGGGGGAATACTGAGGGTGTAGCCAAGTAATTTCTCGCTGAAGAGATTAGTACAGATATGAGAGAAGTGGGGAACGGTCTATCAGGACACAGAGCTTGGGGCCACCGGTGTGCAGCGCCCACCAGGGAGGGTTGCAGGCTGGAGACCCCAAGCTGAGAGAACTGCCACATGAGGCCAGCAAAGCCATCCAGGCGGGGCTGTGACACTTTGGTAGCCCTAAACCCCAGGCTGCCCAGGACTTGGAGTGTAGAGTAAAAGATTATTCTGGAGTCTGAAGATTTAATTTCTGCCATGCTGGCTTTTGGACTTGCCTGAGGCCTGTGACTTCTCCATTCTTGCCTCTCTCTCTGTTTGGAGAGGGAATGTCTACCCTGTCCCCATCCTGTTATTGAATGCTGGAGAAGACAACTTGTTTTGGTTTCACAGGCTCACAGCTGGAAAGGAGTTTGCCTTGGGGTGAATCACGCCTTGAGTCTCGTCCATATCTGATTCAGACGAGATGCTGGACTCTGAGCTTTTGAAGCAGTGCTGGAACCAGTTAAGACTTATGGGACGCTTGGGAGAGAATGAGTATGTTTTGCATTGTGAAAAGAACATGAATTTGGGGGGCCGGGGTGAAATGCTTGATTATGTCCCCCAAAGGTTTGATCATGTCCCCCAAAAGTTTGTCGGTTGGAGCTTAATTCCTAATACAGCACCCATGGGGCCTAAGGGCAGGATTTAAGTCACGAGGATTCCAGCCTTGTGGATGGATTAACGCCCTGCTCAGGAGAGAAGTTCCATTCCCACAGGAGCGGGTTCATCTCCTCAAGAGTGGGTCGTTACGAACGTGAGTTTGGCTTTGCTCTCCCGCTATTACAAAACAGCAGGGAGGCCCCTCTGGGAGCTGAGCAGAAGATGCATCCTGCTCTCAGCCTTCCCAGCCTCCCCAGCCGTGATCCAAGTAAACTTATTTTCTTCGTCAGTCACTTAGCCTGTGGCATTCTGTTATAAGAGCAGAAAACAGAGAAAGACAGTCATCCACTCTAAAATCAATGAGGAAAAGCTAGCAAACAAAACAGCAAAATAAACTTGATACAGAAAAAACGTGAACAACATGAACATAAAAGTAAGAGCAAAGAAGCGATGAATTGGAAAATGGACAAAAATAAAGAAAATCACTGTATTAACTGTACATATTAATAGGGTTCAGTGAGCTGGGCATGGTGGCACACGCCTGTAATCCCAGCACTCGGGAGGCTGAGGCAGGAGGATTATTGTGAGTTTAAGACCAGCTTGGGCTACAAAGTGAGCCCAAGGCCATCCTGAACTGCATAGTGAGACCCTGTCTCAAAACAACAACAATAAAAATAGGGTTCAGTGTGCTATTTCAATGCATGCATACAGTATGCACTGATCAAATCCCACCTCCTTTCCTTCACCCTTCCTCTTACTTCCCAAGTCCTAGTTATTTCTTCTTCTTTTTTTTTTTTTACTTGCACATATGAAAAAAAATATGTGGTACTTGTCTTTCTGTGTCTGGATTATTTTACTTAATACAACATCCTTTGGTTCCATCCATTTTGCTGTAAGTGGCAGGATTTCATCCTTCTTTACGACTGAATAGTATTCTACTATTATATATAATGCATTTTTTCATCCACTGATGTGCAACTAAGTTGGTTCCATATCTTAGCTATTGTGAATAGTGCTGTAATAAACATGGGTGTGCAGGTGTCTCTTTGGTATGATGATCTTATTTCTTTTGACTGTATACCCAGAAGTGAGACAACTGGATCACCTGGGAGATCTATTTTTAGTTTTTAAAGGACTCTCCATACTATTTTCCACCGTGGTTGTACTGCTTTGCATTCCAACCAACAGTGCATAAAAGCTCCTTTTTCTCTACATCCCAGTTAGCATTAAAAAAAAAATAGCCATTTTAACTAGGGTGAGATGACAGCTTACTGTAGCATTTATTTATATTTCTCTGATGGCTAACGACAGTAGCATTTTTTCAAATATTTTTGGCCAGCTGTACTTCTTTTGAGAAGTAGCTCTCAGTAATATTCCCATTTTAAAACAGGATTAATTGGGTTTTTAAAATTTTTGACTTTCTTATATGTTCTGGATATTAATCTTTTGCCAGATGAAAACTTGACAGATATTTTCTCCCATTCTGTAAATTGTCTCTTATTCTGTTGATTACTTCATGGTGCAGAAGCTTTCTAGTTTGATGTACCAAAACACTTTTTATGGTAAAAACAATAAACAAACTAGGAATAGAGGAAAATCTTCCCAATCTGATAAAGAACATCTATGAAAAACCCCTTGCTAACATCACACAGAATGATGAAAGATGGAAAGCTTTGCCCCAAAGATCTGGAATCAGACAAGGATGTCTGCTTGCTCCACTTGTAATCCACATTATATTAGATGTTCCAGCCAGGGTAATTAGGCAAGAGAAAGAAATAAAGTCATCCAGATTGGAAAGTATAACTGTCTGTGTGCAAATGACATGACTCATATGCAGAAAATCCTAAGGATTACACAAAGACACAGGCATACACACTGTCACGGTTTAGATCTAGATTGTCTCCCAAAAGACTCATGTGCTCAGAAGTTGGGTTTTTAAAAGGTGATTGGATCACAGGGAAACTGGATCATGAGGATGCTATACTCATCATGGAGTCAGCCGCTGAAGAGTTCAGAACTAAATGCGTTGTTAGGAGGTAGGGTCTGGTCAGAAAAGGTGGGTCACTGGGATCGTGACCTGGTACATCTCCCCCTCTAGTGATTCTCTCTCCCCTTGGCTGTCATGGGAAAGTGACTAAGACAGGGTGCGACCTGGAAGGCTATATTCTCATCCCCAGCTCCCCTCCCTGTCTCCGTTTCCTGACCACGATGCAGTGGGGAACAACTTTTCTCTACCATGCTGCTTCTACCATGGATCCAGCTGATCCTGAACTGAATCCACTGAAGTTGCAAGCCAAAACAAACCCATCCCCCTTTAATCGGTGGGTGTTTGATTTTTGTTCTAGCAAGAGGAAAGTGACTAATATATGCACATATAAACACAGCTATTAGAACTAACTAATGTGGTCAGCAAAGTTAAAGAATACAAGATAAGTATACAAAAACAATAGTGGTTTTTTTTGGAAACTAATAATCCAAAAATAAAATTAATACAAGTGCCAAAAAGAATAATATACATGGAAATAAATTTAACCAAAAATATGAGGTTTATACTATAACAACCACAAGACATAGTCGAAAGAAATTAAAAAACACCTATAAAAAGAACAGACTTACCTAAACACTGCATATATGCATTGGAGGACTTAACGTTATTAAAATGCCTATAATACTTAAAGTGACCACAGATTCAATGCAATACTGTTATGGTTTGTGTCTGGATGTCCCCCCACCCCTCATGTAGTCATGGGGTAGGTTTTTAGAGCTTGTGATTGATCCATGGTCCAAAGCTGGGTTTATGGGTGTAAGTGCTACACACGCCCAGGGGCAGATAGTTTGCCTATGTAAGGGAGAGAAAGAGGCTGCTTGCTGCCACTTCTCCCCTTTTTCTGCTCTTGTTGCTTTTGCTGTTTTCTGCTGCCATGAACTGTTGCCCTCTGACATGCACCACTCTGCCTTAGAGCCAGCCAAGTGTGGACTGAAACCTCCACAAATTGTGAGCTAAATAAACCTTTCCTTCCTTAATTTTGTGCATTGGGTATTTTGTCCCAGCAATGACAGAAGAGTAACTGAGACAACTACTTATCAAAATCCAAGCTGCTTCTCTTGTGGATATTCTCCTAAAATCATATGAAAATACAAGTGACTCAGAATAGCAAGAATGATCCTAAAAAAGAGGAAAAAATTGGAGATCTGAAAAAATACTATAAATCTATAATAATAAAAACATTATAATACTGACATAAAGATAGACATAGAGACTAATGGCATAAAATCAAGACTCTAAAAATAAGCCCACATATTTACAGTTGATTTTCAATAAGAATGTGTGTTTTCAATAGTTTTGTTGTTTGAGGCAGTCTCCCTATATAGCTGTGGCTGCCCTTGACTATGTAGTACAAGCTGGCCTCTAACTCACAGCAATCCTTCTGCCTCAGCCTCACAAATGCAGGGATTACAAGTGTGTGCCACCACACTTGACTTCAATAAATATTGAGGCAACTGTATATTCACATGCAAAAGAATAAATTTCATCCCCTTCCTCACACCATATACAAAAATTACTCGAAATGATAATCCAGACTCTCTCTGTCTCAAGATTCTTAGTTCAACTACATATCACATACACAAACTCCCACTTGCCATGTGGGGTGA